AGGATTTGATGTCGTTTTGTATTTTAGTAACCGAATGGTTATGGTCTTCAGCGGGATTTATAGAAGGATATTTGTTAAGCTGGGTCTCCAGGTTTTTGTGAGTGTCCCTCGGGAAATTGTGAGGCAATGGATGATCGTAATTAGATTGAAATCCAAAATGGGATGAGTATTTGTGCTCGGAAGAAACGGTTGTTGCTGTTTTGTGTACAGTTTTGACCCATGAACTAGGAGTCGCACTTCATGTGCTTTCGACTTTGGGAGCAGAGGGACTGTGGTGTGGCGATCATGTGACTGTTGCCAGTGCATAAAATGGCTTGGAATTAATTATTCGACGTTACCTATATTCGACCACATTCACTTGAGAAAAAATACACTTATCCAAGAGATGAAAATTCTGTCTATAGTCGAAGTTCAACATTTTCGTAGGAGATTTTGATGTCATTCATTGTGCACCTTCCGATTTTATCGAAAACTCACAATCTTGAGAGGTTTTTTAACCCAAGCACACATGTCCCCGGTTCATTACCCAAACCATTATTAGATGTAAAAAAATAAGAAGAAAACGAAGGAATCATGTACTTTCTGGTCCACCGCGCAACTTCATAGTTGAAGAGTAGACACTCAGATACTTCCAAATGTAACTGGTTATCGAAAGAGCACTGACCAGCTGCAAGTTCCTTGGATTCAAACTTATATGACCCATCAGTGCATTGTTAGAAGGATAATGAGAAGTAAGTTAAACCCACTCGGTCAGACATAACTACCAGTTCATGGTTCAACTTAACGCATAAACCCTCTCTTACCATAAGTAGCCAATGAGCGCGCTTCACGTTCCTCTACTTCTGTATATAGTCAAATATTAATTTCCTTCCATCTTTCACTCTTCTCTGCCTTCTTTTCTTAAACTCACCCCTTCAAAAAGTACGTGGGTATCAGTACGGTTTGATTCTATCGTGCACAGCATATCTTTAAAACATAATGGCTGAATGGTTTGTTTTTTACTTTTCTACTGATAAGCCGTTTGGAAGAAGTACAATAAGAAATATTGGAGATCAGGAAAATGGTTACAACTGTCATACGAAGTTTCAGTAATGTTGTGTACGCCATATGGAGGTACTAGAAATTTAAAATTTCCTGTCCCTTGATTCTGATCAATTCAGATTATTTCAAATGCTGGGAATGAGCATAGTCAAAAAATATTTTAAGCATAGTGATTTACTTCTTCCAAGTTCAATCTCAAAAAATGCTAAACGTTATGTGGCTATGACCGGTTACCTATAACTTATTTAGAGCCAAACTCAAGGACCTACGCAGTGATTTTAATTGGATTGAACCACAAAGCACAATTCAACATTTTTGATAGTCTGACTAGATAAATCAAATGGAAAGTGAACATTTTTTAATCACACCTTGATTCCAGAAACCACATTCTTCTACGATCAATACACTGAAAAACACGAAATGGGTTGTGGAAATGACTTGAGTATTAGAGATAAAATTTCAACAGTTAGATAACATACCATATAAAACACAACACTACTGAGTTACAGCTCTCGATAGTATTTGTATTTTGCAGGACTACTGAAGCCACTTGATTATATCAGCTTTACTTAAAACCGCCAAAGACTCAAAACTTTCCACTGCTCTCTTATCTTCATTACGAAGCACCGAGTCCTCCTTGAATGCCTTTTCGTTATGCAAATTTTATATTAGTTAGCAAAAAGGCGAGTGACAAAGATTAGACGCTGACAGGGGTGGATAATAAGTAAAGAGTCCCAATTATTAACGGAAGGTTTCCTGAAATGTGTCACTAAAACATTTCTTATTTTTAAATAGTTGGTTAGAAATTCACTGGTGTTTCATTTCTCAATTTTCAATAACGAGCTGAATTTTGCCCATGAGTGTCTGATATCCATTTTTCAAACAATAAAAACGTGAGAGTTCATTTTATAATCCCCATATTTCTCTTCCGTCCAGTAGTTGAGCTGAATTGAGATCATACGGTCGTGCTCTAGAAGAGATAAGTTTATGTGTTTATAAAGTAGGTTGAACTAATACAGAGAATCCTCTCAAAGAATAGCTGATATTATATTAAATTATAAATAATATATCTACAAACGCCTGCTCCAATTCTTCACCCATGTTTGAACTAGACTTAACCTACTTCGTCTCAAATCACTATAGAATCGTTTAACAATAATGTTCGACCAGTACATCAAGTTTAATTCCGATCCCATACTCACGAATAGTCAGGTATTCCTAAACCTGAACAGTGTTTAGAACTTTAGTGCGATATTACATGTCGTCCCTTATTTACCAGACTGTTACCCCTCTATACCTCAAAAAATTAACACTACCACAAATTGTCTTCAATAGGGTTTTTTAATATCCCCCAAACTTTTAAGTGACCAAATGAGTAGGCAAAATCTTAAAAAATTGAATAAGTTCGTCAGCTACTTCTATAGGTAGCCTTATTTACACATCAACTGCATTTCTTCTGACATTCCCTAATTAGATGGAGACACTTAGATTTCAAACAAAAATAAATCAAAATGCTGGATCTCTACTCAAGCTCTCAGAAGCATAATCGTGAAGCCTAAGTATCTATCCTCTGCGACATCTTGGGGTGAGTTACTATGTTTCTGTCCCACACTTGTCAAACAATTTATCGAGAAGCCATTAACATTATTTGGATCATCTTTAACCAACGTAACAGCAGGCAACCGGCACGTTTTTTCACAAACAAGCATAGTCCTGTGGTTTCCAGATAACGAACAATCTCACAGAGCAGAAGTGGATTAAAAAACTCTAAGTTTGACAATTCTCAAAGACGAATCGAACTGAAAGACAAGATCAAGAATTATGACGAGATGGAAAAAGGTTGATGACCAGTTGAACTCCGAGACAAACGGTAACCGCTAAACTTGGTAGATTTGTGACCCAGTATTAAGAACTGAAGACTATATATTCCATCATCAATCTGCTACCGAATCTGAACAGTAGAATGGACAACTACTCAGAGTTCAAGTTCAATATCACAAGCTCCCAACGGATTGCACGCGATAATTATCACTCAGCTATTATAGCTGAATAAAAATTCTGAAACCACCGATGTCTTTCCTCGTCAGTACAATACACATTGAAACCAATGGTCAGAAGGGTAATAATAATGGCCACAATGAAAAAGAATAACGACGCGGACGCACAAATAAACTCGTCTGAGAGAGTGAACGAAGTTCCTTAATTCTTCTTCCACCCCAGCTTCAAGGAGTATGATACAGGAAAGCAAGTAAGCTTCCAACAGGTAGTAAAGAAATAAATAACGCATCTTACTTGGTATGAAAACTAGCAAAGCTATTTTTTGTTAGTATATCTGCTAAAATAGGACGGAAGATGAACTCATCCATCAATAGATACTGGACCCTGTTCACATAGCATAAGGAACCATCTTGATGTCACAAAAAAACTTCAGAGAAGCACTCAAAAGTAGACAAAGAACGATCTAGCATAGTGTTCTGCGGAGTCTTAGGGCTAACATGATGAATTCCAGATAAATGTTATGTGAACTAAATAACAGTAGTGCGGATTATCACATCGCCAAGACGTAAACAAAATAAAAGCGATTAGTGCTTTCTGACCTCCCTGCCCATCACAATTCACTACACCTGGGTCTCGTGCTTATTACACATGAACGTCAGAAACTGTGAGGACTTAGCACGAATTCTCTAGATATGACACAACGCTACGTTAAAAACAACCAACCTCCTAATATGCAATAGCATACGCAATAGCATGATTACAAACTTACATAAATTGACTAATTCTTTGACGCTCGCTTCTTGTTGTTTCTCTCCGGTTCAGAAGAAACATAAGGCAAAACCACTGCTCATGTAACTGTCCATGGCAAAACAGTTGATTGGTGCGCGTTTTGCGTCCTTGAGCTTGACAAAGGTCGGCAAACTGCTTGACGTTCAGTGACCTACCTGCAGGATGAGTTTGCTAGGAACAGATGACACTACATTATCAATGCATACAAACCACCAAGTTGCCTTCAGACTAACTCCAATTCACTCTTTTGTCTTGATCATTGATCTTCAGATAGAAAACACCATCAAAAAAGGTGGATAGCCTCAAGAGTACCTATGACAAACACGAACCGATCCATGTAGAACAATCTCCCACTTGGGTGAGCCTAGTCTGGGGGATATCTCTTAGCTGACCTACCATTAATATCATCATATCACTGACTCATTCCTATCTGGCTTTTCATCATCAATAGTTGTTGAAGAACATAGAAGCTTAGGAGTCATAATAAGCCATGACTTGAAAACAATTACGTATTGCAACGCAGCTGCTGTCAAAAGTTTTAGCGCGTCATGATCACTCCATCGAGCATTCAAATGGTTTGACGAAGAAATTTTACAAATTTTATATCCCTCCTATGTAAGACCACACTTAGAGTACTGTATCCAAACAGAAAGCCCGTGTCTGATAAACGATACCAACTCACTTGAGCGTGTTCACCGTGTGGGAACAAAATTAATGAAGGGTCTTTCTAAACTCCCTTACGATGAACGCTTAAAGTGTCTAAACCTTTCCCCTTGTTGTGTCGCAGGACACGAGGTGACCTTATACTGGCATTTCGCATCTTCAATTGTGATTTGTGTGTTAATGTCTTATTTTTTAGCTCCTTCCAGCACTAATAATCTCCGAGGTCATGGCAAGAAGGTTCACAAACTGCGATCTAATAAACTTAAAATGGGCTCCCGTATTTCTCATTGAGTAGTTGATGACTGGAACACCTTCCTTGAATAAGTAACATCAGCCACATCAGTGAATAATTTCTAGGAGAAGCTGGGCCTTCGATGGAATGCAATGTGTATCAGGATTGACACAGGTTCATCAACCTACTCTCCTTATTACTAAAAACTAGTATAGTTAGGTGCTCAAATTACCACCTATACTCGGTTCGAAAAAACAAGAGGCGAGCGCAAAGAAACAACTGGTTTATAAAAGTCTATCAGTAAGACATTGGGTATTGAATGCGGTTATTTAAAAGGACAAGGACGTAACAGTCATTTTTGTAGTATTTTATTAGACATATGCAAGACGAACAAGCGGTCAGGAGGATTTTTGAAACGTAAATGTTAAAATTACTTCAGTGACGTCTATTTCAGTGTAGACAAGAACAGGGACGGAAATATTGATCATACGGAGCTACAGTCGGCACTATCAAATGGTATGCAAACCTGTTGCTTAGTAACAGCAATTTTATTGTTTTGTCTCCCTGTAAGTACTTGGCTAAAAGTAGTATGAAGTCTATTGTTTCAAACTTTCCTTTCAACTCTTCAACCCTCAAGAGTCTGGAGCTCTTTAGGAGTCGGTATACATCAACTTGGATATGTAAAATTTCTTCATATCAGTTTGACATTTCATAAATGTGATGGACTCCGTAATGGCTTGTATTTTCAAGCAATACATTTTAGCAGTCTGATAACACTCAACATTAAGACTTAATTATCAGGACTGGGTGGTCAGTGTTAGTTGATATCATAAGACGGGAAACAACATATGTCGTAATTCTTACAACTCAGCATTAAGCGCATTAACGAGTATCTGCGGTTATAGACATCATATCATTTACTAGATGACGCATTAAGGCGTGTCCCATCACGACTAAAAGTATCCTGATGTGTGGAATCACTAGTGATGTCTACGAAATTTAAGGTAGGTGTGTTAAAGTCCTCTGCAACCAACAGCCGACTTTCACTGTCGGATTCAGTATGTCTTAACGCAAAGCATTTAGATGAATAGAGTAGGACAGAATAAGACATACCACCTGGGAAATGTACAACTGTCAAGAGTGAGTTAACAACTGGCTACCCCCCCCAAGTCTTGGTACAGTGAAGTTTAAAAGTTAAAATTTTGTCTAGAGTTTTTATGCAAAGCGATGCCCCACTTTACAACATTCTCTATCAATCCATAGATACCTCTAACCCAACAATATGTAAGCAGTGCTCAAATCTTTCATCGTTGACAATAATGAATTGACTTTGTTCACACTCTAAAACTTCTACTTCACTCAACTTACTTCCAGGACTTCTGTCGTTCACAAACAAAGCTTTTCATTTATATATCTGTATATTCCCTGATAGAATTCACCTCCAAGATCTAACTATCCTATAATATCAGTCGGTTTTCCTTTTCGTACTCCTGGATTTCCGCCTACTCCTTTTTACCGTCTCATAAATATCGCATCTTTTTAGGACATCGGCTTAGTTATTTACTGTTGCTGTTTATTTCTCTAGAAATTACAAGAATCTGCTACTTTTAAGTTTTAGGTCCATATAATTGAGCTTGTTAATTGCTATTGAATGTTATAAAGATCCTATGACTTTTCTGCTTGAGTTCTTTTATCCTGAAGTTTTACAGTGTTTAATTAAGTAGCTAAACAGCGAAATGAAATTCGTTGTAATCACGTTAGTTTGCACAGTTTTTTCATTACAAAAACTTTTATATTATATTTTGGCAATTCCTGTATTTTATCAACTTAATATTTCAGGATTAGTAATATTTCTCAGTTAACAATTATTCTGCTAATTTTTAAAGGTATAGGTACACCGTTCAACACTAGAACTGTTCAGCTGATGATTTCAATGTTTGACCAAGACAGAAATGGAACCATTGATTTCAGAGAGTTCGTCTATTTATTCAAATATGTTCAGGATTGGCAACGGTGTTTTCGTCAATATGATCAGGATAGATCTGGATTACTCGATGCTAGAGAGTTTCAAAGTGCATTGTCCTGTTTTGGTTACCGACTCTCTCCTTGTTTTATAAAAATGATGATCGGTCGTTTCGACCGTAATAAACAAGGACAGATCGCCTTCGATGACTTTATTTTTGCTTGTGTATGTCTCCAAGTAAGTAGTACATATATAGTACTTAAGTGAACTAGGTCACTGAAAATAAACCTTTTATTAATTCCAGTAGTTGAAATATAAAAAGGTAAACTGTTTAAGATTAAGGCTGAAATCTATATTGAATCTTCATCTCGAAATTAGATGCATTTAATTAGGAAGGTTCGAGTTTTAGTATATTTTCACTCACGATAATGGCTACCATCATTGAAGTTTGCATGATCAGATGATAATAAGTGACTTTACTTGTCATTTAGTGTTATAACAGAGCGAGTTTTGAACACTGATTTTCGGATTGTTTCTGTTGATGTTTTTTTATTGTATGATTATTAGACAACTGGTTCAATGTTAATCTTGCCAGTGGAATCGTATTATTAGTCAAAGATTAAGACCATAAGTTATAGGCAACATACTACACACGAGGTGGAGAAACTATTACCAGGATTCTGACTGAAACACTTTTCAAGTATGGTTTAGCTGTATCGACGTAACATGAAGCGATGCGATTAGGTTTATTTAGTTTAATATTAAGATATTGAGGGTTTACTGTAAAATACACGATGCTGCGAAAATGGGATTCCTCATCTAATGTCGTCACTTGGTAAATGTAAATTACTTGGTTTATGTTCGCGCGGTCACTGCAACCAATGATTAGATACGTTATGTGATATGGTCCAGAATCAGTCGCACTGACTTGATCCTATCCACTCTTCGTCCTCCCTTAAACCCCAATTCCTAAAAATATCTTACACTTCTTTTTTGTCCTTCATATTCCTTCGTATTGAATCATATTGTCTACGGCTGATGTTTTCTACTACCACTGATATTGTTGCTGCTTCTAATACTCCGGTACTTAACAACTTCATCACTGTATTGATATGTTGTGACAATATGAACCAGTCCTCATATTTTCCAGGTTCTGCGTTCGCTTATGACCAACTGAATCAGTTAACAATCAGTGTCCGTAAGTTTGGCATGTACTTTCCATCTTCTAAGTGAAAACTACTTCTATGTAACCGACAACAGCATGTGGACCCACTCGCTCTGTGGAGATCCGTTAGGAATAGTTGGGAAGCCTATATATCTTGATTATTGTATGAGTGCTGATGTTGGCGTGACTAATGGCATCAACTTACTTACAGTAAGTCTTAGCGATTTATGCCAGTCTGAGTCTGTGTGATGTCAGTCTGGTTGTAAAAGGTCGGGTTTATAGCTTGTCGGTGGGAACAGTTTTTCTCAATGCTTGTGAATAGAATTTCCAGTAAATATCGTCATCGCCAAATGTTAGAACACCGTCATACGTATCAGAGGCCAACAATCATACTGTTTCTTGACATCCTTTCCAGATTAATTTCTCATTCAAATTGTTTATAAAATTAACATGTGTAAATATAAACATCTAGTTCTTAATTCAAAATGTTTCTCCTTTCTAAATCAATCTTCTGTCTTCTTTTCTCATAGATTCTCACAAACTCTTTTAGACGATATGATATAAATCGTAATGGATATGCACAATTCAGTTTTGAAGAATTTTTATCTTCTGCTATGTCTATAATTATTTGATAAAATATATTTGTAAAAAGAAAAACATCAAATGGTTACTGTACAAAAGAAAAATACAGATGGTCATTATCAATAACTTCACTTCTATATGGTAATTGTTTTTGTTTATTTGTTAAATTTGTTTATTTCATTTGGTCTTCCTCCTTTTATTGAACAAATGAGAGAAATAAACATGATTAAAATTTCTTTAGTTTAAACCTAACTTAACTTTAATTTTATTGCATTGCTTTTTGCTAAGAAGTTCCATAAAACTCTGCTATTTATACTCAATTGTTTCTGTTATGTAAGCTTTTTGACATAATTTTAAGTTGGATTTTTGTACTTGCTTCAATTTTGATTAAGATTTTCCTTTTCTATTTAGCTATTTTCTGTTGTTTTTGTTTGAGAAAGAAAAACCGATATTGTTTTTTTTACTTGGTTGTCTTTTTGTTTACTTTTTGTGAACATCCAAAATCATTGTATAAACCACTTACTTTTTCATTCATTTGATAATAGGAGTTTATAATTGATATGAACCATTCAATTTATAGCTGATTGATAGTTAAATAAAAGCACGGTGCATATGTGTAGCTTACAAATATGATCGTAATTTCGTATACAATATACAAGTTTGTTAGGGATATGAGTCAATTAATGACTAAAGGTTTCTTTTGAATTATAGTCCAACAAGTCCTATTCTTTCTAATGGTTTCTTTAAACTTATTTATTTATTATTTATTTAAATACATAAACATTGGTACAAGGAGGTATCAAATAGATATGCGCCACATAAATCATTCGATTTATGTGGGGGCTAAAATACTATCCAGGTGCCCAAACTGAAGCAGGGAGTTTTCCTAAGGGGCCACACCTCAAGCCTTCGACTTAAAGGCCAGATCAAAACATGGTACAAGTCACTGATAAGTAGACTGAGTCATGTTGGTAGGTGTAGACTACCTGATTGGGGACCGCGAGATGATAGCAACCGATAGTTAGAGACATTGACTGGCATGGCTCAAAATCGTTTGCAATGGCGCAGGTGCATACACTCTTTGTGTTCTCCCAAATTCTAATCTCCTGATTCCTCATTGTCTCTTTTTTTCTCTTCCCAAATTTATTTCACTGTATTATACTCTTTAAATATCATCTTCAAACCCTAATCTTTCCGATTACTGCTTATACTCTTATTACCTCTACCACTACGGGATTTGAGTCGACAACTGCATCTCTGTGCTAATGTGGTATGGCAACTCGAACTGATGTACGTACGTACGAAGTTCTACGTTGTTACTGACTGACTGACCTTCGATTTAAAGTTCTAATCCACAAGGTAGTGGGGTAACGTTAGGAGATGCAGTCCCATTGTAGCCGGTGACCAATGATTGATTCATACGCCATTCGTTCCTTCAGGACACTGGAGCCCATTTGCACCATTGGTTTGAAATCAGGGTTTTCCAACTCCCTTAGGTGGACTCTCCGTGTCCATCAACCTGGTCAAAGCGCCGGTCATTCGCTTTTCCTCCTCTCGATTTTGTAAAGAGCCGTAATGCCACGAAAAGGCAGTGAGTAAAACTTATGTGGTAGTGGTTGTATGCACGTGGCCATATGAGAGCATTTGGAGAGGGAATAGTTGACTCTCCCGACTCGGCTGTACCAGAGCATTTGGGTGCAGACTTTTTATTTACTCTACAACATATGCTAGGCTGGTAGAACTTATCGGTCCAAATGGAGATTTTCACTACTAAGAGTTGTGAATTAAGGAACAGAACTTCACCATGAACAATGTGTTGCACAGTTCATAAAATCCAGGATACAAGGTACTTAGGTTGGGTGTATAAAATCACTCAAAGTAGTTCGATGTATCGCCTAAGATTTTTTGCATGCGACTGATAACTTTTGGTAAATTCTCAAAAGCTCATCAGACTAAAATATTTTTAGGCTTTGTTTTACAAACGTCGAATACATGAGGTATGAATTGGTGAGTTTATAAACTAATTGGTAATCCCTCAGAATGAAGCCTTACTGACAAAACGTTTTGGAAATTAGTGTGGATTGTAATATTGTACAACTGTTAGCAAAGTTAGACATAAGAATATTTGCAGAGTTAATATAGGAAATCCGGTTTATCAACATACCAGTTGTCACTCCAATACACAAAATTACTTCAGGAATACGAAGCACCCATAGACGTACCTATTCGAACCCGAATATCCCTTGTAATTTAGGTTCAGTACCAAGGTTAACTCGTCATATCGCTTGGTCTCATGAAGTGCATGCGACAAAGAATCACCCTGATTAGTGTCAATTGATCTAAATTTAACGAGTCCTTTTTATTCAAAACGCTGCATATAAGTAATGTGTACTTTAGATTTTGATTGTTAAATCATATGATATATTTTGATTACGTCTTTTATCTTTCAGTTGAGTGACAATAAGGCTAAGAAGTAAATAAGTGTTTTAATTAATGTGGTGAAGTATGGTTTATGACAGGAACTGGATTTCTTGTTTACTGAAACTCAACATAGCTTATTCAGGATGTAGTTAATCACATGGACAGAACAACAGGTATGATTACTGATCAAATAACCTCTCTTGTCTAGTCACTGACAGGTCAACAGAAGTTGTAACTATGGGATCATCATTTTCCACTATTATTACTAACTGGGAACTAATTTACTTGTTGACCAACAGTCCGTTTGAGGAGCGCAGATAACAACCGTGTTATTACAAAACGAGATGAATTAGAACCTTTTGAACATTCTAACGTTATACCATATAGCACTAAGTTCATAAAGAGACCGAATTTCTTGACTGTAAACTTTCATTTCTCGACTATTTTTTTGAAAGAAAACAGTTGTTTCAAAATTAGTATATTCCTTAAGTTCAAATATACTGTGAAATATTTAGATTGCAGATCAGCATACGTTCTATCGAAAAAGATAATAATCACTAAGTATCTGATTAGTTGAGTTTACCAACCAGTCATAACTGAAGGACAAAGACATCGAGTTGGGAAAAATGATCGATCAACGTAAAGAATGGATGAACTCGATGGTAATTCCATACCGCCAAAGAAATTAGAAGGATCCTAGACCATAAGGATATAAGTGTTCTCCAGAATGACAATAATTTTAAATGTAAAGAGTGGAGTACTGAAGGAGAAGCAACAGAATTATGTCTCTAAAACCAAGTATACTGGCTGTAATTTTATAGGCAAGACATCACGACAACTCGATATGTTGGCGAAGGAATGTCAACTTTACTTAAACCTTCAAATGACACCAGGTTTCTTGAAAACTTTATGACATAAGCTTTATACTCTGTAAATAAGGATATACAACCGACTTTGATCAGAGAAAATTTTTTTCCTGTAAATAACGAGTGACAGCTAAAGCGCTATATTAGCGAGCTTCAAATGTTATATCTAATTATACTGCATACAACTAGAGCACTCAAACGCTAGAACCCTCCCAAGCCGCAAATGAGAAGACAAGTGAAAGGAATGCTATTCCAAAACAGTGTCAATTATGGTACAAAACTCTCAGGTATTTATAGTTTTTAGCAAAAACGAAGTCATTACAGTCTTCTAATCCGCATACAGGTTATTAGCGTATGTCTAATACGGAAGCTACGTGTAGGGATTCTGGAATATTCTTCCAAAAGATGATTGAATAGAATATCTTCGGCTCTTTCTGAACTTCCTTGAATTCACCCGTAGGCCGTCCTCACACAACTATCTAGACTGACAAGACATGGTATTATTAGCTGTACAATGAGAACTTATGATAAAATATTATCTATAAATTTCGTACAATTTTTCTCATTGATAATTTCGAGTAGATCAATATCAATAAGCTTCGCAAAGTAAGGCTAATTTGTTTATTTGGTGGATTTTCATCAGCTGGATCTTCATCATATCAATAATTCTTATTCACAACCAATGGACATACTTTATTCTATATTAATGCAGATAAATAGAATAACGACAAGAATTATGAAGTAGTAAATTGAACAAATACTTATGTTTCTCTAACTATGACTATTCTTGAAGAAAATAATCATGAATCCGAGAATTGAAAAACTATAATTCTTTCGAGCCACTACAAAAGTGGTTAACTATGTTTACAGTTTGTGAAACTATCCATACATTACATATTATAAACCCACCGAGGATAAGTTACCTGGTTATGCCACTTTTATGTGTATCTACGAATTCAGCTGCTCCTGTGGAGAAAGCTATATTGAGCGCACCACCAGACAACTGAACCAAAGTGTTAGTGAACACCTCCCTTCATGATTAGAAAAAAGTAATGTCAAGACAATACGCAGCTCGGTTCTATCACACTTGATCAATAGTGGTCATGTGGTGGACAGAAACAAGTCATTTAAAGTTATTTTTCGTATTTCTACTAGTTTTCCTTATGATGTTCGATCTGGTCTCTTACACATAGCATAAGATATAGGAATTCGTGCCAACAATCCAAGATTTTATGTTCACAAGAAATCTGTGAAGCACCCTTATCTCTCCCTTGGCCTTAATAAATGATTTTATTTATTAATATTTTCCATACTCTTATACCTCTACTACTACGGGATTTGAATCGACAACTGCATCTCTGTGCTAATGTGGTATAACAACTCGGACTGATGTACATACGTACGAAGTTCTACGTTGTTACTAATTGACTGACTGACGCTTCACGGTTCAATTATTTGAACACCTCTTATTGCGTAATCGTATAATCTTTCTATGAATTTTATTTCAGTGTCAATAATTTTTCTAATCATTGACCTATTTACCATTATGTAATATTGATTCAAGCCTTTATTATTCTTATGACAACTAGTACACCTGTCATCAAACTACCGATTTGTACTTTTCCTTTATTTGTGTAATCTATTCCATTGTTATCATTGACTCATAAACTACCTTGATTGGTTTAATAACTTCGTATATGTATATAAATATTACTGTATATTAGAGTAAAGCCTAATGAGGATCTAGTCGAAAACAATATTGTTCACTTATATATGTTATTATAGATTAATAAATTGTCAACCAGCTAATACAGCCAGCCAATTGTAATCAGTTGACCTTCATTTGAATTTGTTTAATAAACAAAGCATTTTATCAACAAACAGATCATATGATTCTTCAATGAAATGTTATTAACATTCTTACTATGGCTATATTGCTTTAAAACTCATAAATATCAAATTTATCATTTGCCAAAAAGATTGAAATTATTTACACTTTGTTTTTCAGTATTTAAAATCCGGATTACAAAATCGATATAATATTAAACAAATAATATTATTTCAATAGTCGAGATCATGAATCAATTGAAGCTAAACCATCACGGAAAACCTGAAAGCATTGGATGGCCGTCTCGTCCTATTATGGGACTCTTCCTTGGCAGTGTGCATCCACGATCCCACCTCACGAGATTCGAACCCAGAATTTATCAACCTCGCGTGCGAGCGCTAAACCACTGAACTTGTCGGCATCCAACGGTGTTAATGTCTAACTTCAACTAACCCACGAAATTGAGTGACACATTCACCATTGTCTTCAGTGAGTTACTATCTCACAACAGACCCGGTTGAACTCTACTAGTCACTACTTCTCACTAGAACTCCAGGAAATACCTCTTGAAACAATATTATCTTTGACAACTTTTAATGAC